TGAAAATAAGATGTAAAATATACACTAAAACAAATCCACGTTATAACCAAAAACGTTTGCGGTTTCTCTCTTTTTTAATATATATATATATATATATATATATATATATATATATATGGTAATCTTAGATATTTCCTTACAAGGAAACATTCGGAGTTCATTGACTGAGCAGCCAGTGGTGCTGTCTGTTGAAATTAAGCAAACATCTTTCTTTTGAATCAAATTAGTCCAGTAACTGTTATGGCTGTTGTGTGATTTTCTTTCCTCGCCTTGAATTTGGTGCAGTGTAGAATGTCAGCATATTGATTATATCATTATTTTCTCTTCAATTTACATGTGTTGTCCATTTTGGTTCCACCATTATCTGTGGTTTGTTTGTGATTTTATAGCACCAGTCCACAATATTCGAACAAGGATGGACTTCAACAAGATCCACAGGCTTATATATATATATATATATATATATATATATATGGGGGGGGGGAGAGATGTATGACAAAGTGGAAAGAGCTTTCGTTCTTTAGAACTTCATTAGACTACGTTTGTTTATGTTGATGCAATTACATATGCGCGCGAAGCAGTGACGCTGCGAATTTAAAATTTCATTCAATCTTTTTAGGGTATATAATATATCCGATTTCACTTAAATTCTTTTTATTTTTATGTTGTCATCACTTTTGTTATTATTCATACCACATTGTCATAATTGATCTGGCACGAATGGTGAAATGTTGTAAGAAATTAAACCCAAATTTACTATTGATTATCTAACGATTAAATCACTTTCTTTCAATTTTTGTCTTAGTGAATTGTTTTCTATTTTAAATAAAGTAACATTTTCTACATAAAACTTCTGAGTAGGTAATGTGTTTGATGTGATGTTTTGCAAAATATTTCTTTTAGTTAGATATAATATTTTATTTAAAATTTTTCAGGTTTCGTAGAAGAGATTATTTCTTGAATGAAGCTTGTGATAAAATCTGTATCATTTTGTCTATGGTTTTAATTATTGTGTCGACTAGATCTCCTTTATGAATCCCGGTAGCGAATTTTACCCACAGCTGAGGGCTTCTAATTCGGTACTGGATAGCTTTAAATCTAGCCTTCCAATATATTTTCATTTTCTATTAGCATATAGGGTGTTAAGGTTTTGTCTTAGTTTATTGGTTTGGTTGTTGCTTACTTGTTTATTTGTTTGTCATAAATAAGCCATTTTTGATGTTGTTAAACGGTTCATTTTTCGAAGGTGGAGTTCAATATTGAAAGGTTAGTTTTTCGATTTCTTCCAGTTCCTCATTGGAAGATTTTGATTTGGAAATGTTTAATCGGGCAGCTGTATTTGGTTTCCATTCAGATTCATTATATCCACTTACCCGCAAATATCATAGAAAAAATTATTAAACCACCTCATCTCATCCGAGTTATGAGTTAATCAGTAGAACTTGTATCACTAAATAATTACAATCTAAAAGTACTTCTCTCTTTAAATAAACTGAAAAAGGTCGATAAGCATTAAAAAACAAATAAATAAAGCATCCAACCTCACACATATGAAGATCTATTCTCAACAGCTGTAAAATGTAGATTCAATTGCTTTTATGCATGCGTCATATGATACAAGTATATAAAAAAGAAACATTCAAATTCCATTCTAGTTTTCTGAAATATGCAGTTTTCTTGAATGCTTGAATCTTATACATCCATGCTTAAAAAAAACAATTGAATGCACGCTTACATTGGGAAAAAAAAAAGGTTTATGGATGGAGTCTTTCTGTGTTAAAAAAAAAAAGTCAACTCTATTGGTTGGCACGCTGCTCAATTTCATTAATCAGAAAGAAATTCTGAATTCCCTTCAGGCCACTTTCGGCGTAGCGTATAATTTCTGCTCACTTTTCAAATGTTTAGATTTCTTTGCTGTCGGCAGTTTTGGCACAAACACTGATAAAAGCTAAGTAACTTCTGAACAACATTCTCAAACATTCTTCTCTACATTTTCCTCAAGGCTTTTACTGTTTGCATGTAATGATTAATAGTTAATATGCAACGGTTTCTTTATTCAAATGTTTTTTTCTCTCCCGTATCAGTCTCTGTTTTCAAAAGTATTCAAGGATGGACCTATGTAGTGTTTATATATATATATATATATATATATATATATATATATATATATATATATATATATATATATATAGTGTTTGTATATATGCATACACACACACACACACACACACACACACACACATATATATATATATATATATATATATATATATATATATATATATATATATATATATATATATAACCAATATAGGATTGGTGTATATGGAATAAATTCCAATAACCAACAAATACTATTCTTAAAAAGAGTGTTCAATAGGGGGAGAGCAAAAACAATTATTTATTCGAAAATTATAACATAAATATATTATAAAATCACTACAAAAATAGCCATTTTGTTTCAATACTTCTGCTGTCTTATCAATTCAATATCATCACTTGAGAAGACGCCAGAATAATAATTTTAAAAATATTTTACATTTTCTATGTTTCGGGACTTTGAAATTTTTCTCCCGTCATCAGGCAATGTTAGGTAACTTTTGATGAAAAAGATTTACTTTTGAAAACAGAAAACAATACGGTGGCTTATTAAAGAGTTAAGACGTCGCGCGGTGGCTTGAGAGGTTAACAATAGGTTAATTTTAGTTTTTTTTTTTTTAATTATTTTTGTAATAACATTATAGTTATCTTAAAGAGGCCTCTAGTATAATTAAATAATTTTTATATATAATTTTGAACCTAACATATAATACTTATTTTATTCACCCTACCTCAATTCATGTCAGTATTTAAAATTAAAAAAATCAAGGAATTAAATAAATATTATATGTACCATTATATATAATAAAATAATGGATATATTATTGCAATACATAGATATTTTATGAAAAATGCTATTAACTATATTTTAATATATACATAGAGTGCCTAAATATTACAGTTCATTCCGCTGATTTAACAGATCATTATATTTAGGAAACCTAATAACATATAGCTTTTCATGCAGACACAGGGGACATAGGTTATTTAGGAACTTACAAATTCTCCTTTTTTTAATTTATTTCATATTTTACTCTGGGGGTTTTATTGAATTTCTTTTAAATAAAAAACATATTTTGATAGGGATGTTCGGTTACGGTAGGCATTGTTATTAAAAAAGACTAAATGTGTTGAGAGAACCTTTGTTCAAAAGGGATTTTTGTACTACCATTATAAATATTTTTAACATCTGGCTTTTAAGTAGATGAAATAGTGCATTGGTAAACAATAGATTCAGACGTATTAATATTAATTTCCAATGGACAATACACGGGATTTTTACAATTACATAATTTATTATCAATATTACTAAATTGCTTTTTGGAATTACTATTATTTTTATTTAGGTTTAAGTGTTTATTTAAAATTTTATTATTATGTTTTTTTTTTAATAATTTTTTCTTGATTATTACTTGGAAAATATTTCTCAATCAAAGCAAGAAACTTTTGCCCTAAATGTGAGCGTGTACCAAATCATTTTTCTGTTTCTATTTTTTCTGGTTATTATTATATTTTCTGTGTCGGGGCATTTATAACCACTATTTGTTAATGTATTTTTCAAGATGGATCAACAAATTCGTAACCTGGTACAGTTACTATCTGAATTACTAATACTACTTTAGTTACTCATCTTAAATTCCCACAATATAAGGCTAAATATATGTCACGATTGCAGAAACTTTTTATTACTTGCACTGACAAAGAAAGGAGATTATGATGAAAAAGTAAAACAATTGCCTTGTAAAAAAAAACAAAAATCCTTGTTTTTAATAGTCGGCTACGGACTTACTGATGATGCTACCTCTATATATGAAAAAATCATTGTAATTTCAAGAATAATGCAGATTATTCAAATTATTTTTGTATTTTTTCTCCCAAATTTTACACGATTTATTTATGCAATCTTCTTCAGGTGTATAAAAGCAAGATCTGTCACTCATACGGAAAATAGTGTTGAATAAAAATATATTAACCGTCATTTATTTTCTATTTAGCATCATTTTTTTTAACTAAAAGAAGCCTTCCTTTTTCGTTTTGAATTGCGCATCTGAGGAAATCTGCAGAATGGTTCGGCCGAAAAACTGTAGCAGAAACAAACAATGAATTAAATCAAATATTTCTTTAATGTTTTCATAAATACTTCAAGCAAAACACAAACGTTATTAATGAATTTATTTTGGGAAAACAAAAGAACCGTTAATTAATATTTCGACAATCTGTTTTTTGTGGAAAGCCCCGGTAGTTTGGCTTGCCTGTCAGTTTTCCACATGACATTTGCTGTTGAAAAAACAACACAGTAAATATAACTAGTTTTCGTATTTTAAGCACTGTCTGTCATTTAATTATGATAATTAGACGCATCTGCTTTAATAAACACGAGAAATAAAGGTAAATTGTAAGTGTTTTTTTTATAATTTTTTTTCTATTTAATTGATTTCAAACTTTTTACACATTCTGACTCTACGATATTTGGAATGATCATCGATTTAACATAATAACAAATTCATATTCAACTTCGATGTTTACTCTGTTAAAATCGATTACTTTTTAGATTTAAATTGCATCATACATAACGGATTGTCAACTTAGTAATGCAGATAAATTTAAAAAGACGAGCTGATAATATTCCTTTTTCTATATAACGATAAGGTTTGGTTTATTGCAATCAAATAAAACATTATGTCTGATCTTTGAAGAGAATTTTTATGCCTTCAAAAGGATTTTAGGAATGAAAACAACAGGCAAAATCCATTCTATATTCTCGGCACTCAAAGAAGAATTAATTAATATCAGACATTGATTAATTTACACATGAACTTAGAAAGATTGATTAATATACTGTCTGTAGTTTCTGTAGAATAGCTGGCAAATATCTGTTTATCACTTTTATAGCTATGTAGCTATTTCATTATGTTCTCCCTCTTTCTTTCTTTCTTTCTTTCTTTCTTTCTCTCTCTCTCTCTATCTATCTATCTATCTATCTATCTCTCTCTATATATATATATGTGTGTGTGTGTGTGTTTGTGTGTGTGTGCAAAGTTTAATCTTTAGATCTTGATCACTTTCGATCTCAATTTTCTTTCTACCATTTGACAAACAATGTAATATTCATCATAGTTATCTATCTGTCTCCATATAAAGGAAAATGAATCAGATACGCATGAGCGCGTGCGCACACACACACATATATATATATATATATATATATATATATATGTATGTATGTATATATGTGTGTGTGTGTGTGTTTGCGTGTGAGTCTATGTTTGGGTGTGTCTGTGAATTTACATTTTGAGACAATTTGCAACATTTTCATTTAACATATTTCCGACATATTCAGGTGTTATCTGGAAAATATAATTTCCTTACAAGAAATAAAATCTCCGTTAGGGAAACAAAATGTGATTCTCGTTAAGCGACTGAACATTCGAGATCTGTTATAATTGTATCGTTATAGAAATTAGATTTAAAGTAATTTCAGTGGGTTTTTTTTTATCCTTATATATTAACTGCTGGAGACTCATAGGTATGCACTTTCAATTCTTTCTTCTCTGAGTAAATTGCGGCCACTTTTCATGTAAACAGACTTTCAGAGTCCGGACGAAATTGTATCATGTATTCATCGTATTTATTTAATTGCAAAATAAAAAGTAAAATTAGTCCATTTACATGTACTACAGTTTCACTGGGAAAAGACATATTCAGCTCAGAACTTGTCAGGAAGAGATACTATTTTTTTAAATCTGTATTTATGACTTTATTGCTACCCTAAGTTTAAGATTCAGCAATCTTATTAAGTACCTAAACTTTTGGAGTTAAAGTTTACAAACGTTTCGTGCAATCTATTATCTATTAACTATATATATAATATACATTGCGATACTAATGGTCAGAATAATATCACAGCAGTGTGATGTTTCATAACAAAACTTGATAATAAGCCTGTATTCAATGTCAAACAGACTGGTTTAACATAGCGATTTACTAAACAGATTAGATGTGGCACAAGGCCGCAAGTAGGGAGCACCCAGTAAGGATCGAAATCAATACTCAATCATACGTTATCTGAGGATATATGCTTGCTTTTACACCAACATTTCTCTATAAGTAAAGCCAATTAAAAATACAAGTAAATAAACCTGGTGATATGCAGGTTTAGCCTAGATTAATGCGGCTAATGTATACATCGGTAACTATTAAAAAATAAATTTCCAATTACTATACTTAAGCTGAAAATTTTTTAGTGCACTAATCGAGTATTATGATGGCATTAATCAAATTTTGTTATGAGAAAATGTTTGCCGCACTAATCGAAAACGCGTTAATGGAATGCGCATTAATCGAGGGGTGGATGTACTGGCACGTCGTATACCAACCGAGTCGGTTCTATTTTAACATACAGGCCTGGGAGTGTCAAGAAACATAGAATCAGGGGTTAGCTAGCACAACAGGTACTTATTCACAGGCTTATATTTAGAAAGCAATTCAGACGTTTTGTTCATTAGCTGTTTGCTTGAAATATAAGAATAGATATTACATCAAAACATTTCCGTTTTTTGAAACTGGAATCAGTCGCATTAGAATAGAATTGACTTATAAAAATAGATCTACGTTCGAGAAATTCTAATAAGAATTAATGAATATGGAACATTGATTTCATTTCCACATTCAGATGCATGAATTCAAATCGGAAAACACATTAGCATGATGCTCCTACGTCATTAATAAAAAATACAGGACCTGTCAATTATTCCTTATTAATTTTAGAATTCCTTCATCGGTTACGTAATCGATATATATATATATATATATATATATATATATATATATATATATATATATATACAGAGAGAGTGAGTGGGCATTGAATTCAACAGCTCATCAGTGTGGCTAGACGTCCGGTTGCCTCTAAATAGGATCGAAACCCGGCTGAATTGGCGTCAGTCTACCACTAAGCCTTTGGCGCACGACAGGAATGAAAGTGAATTTAAGCGTATTTATTTTTAGATAAACATACAGTAACTGAGAGAACTGGATTCGCTTCACCGAAGAGTCTAGCATTAAATATAATAGTCACCGTTTACAAATTCACACTTCTTCCCCAGAGACACTGCATAACAAATAAATATTTGGTGCTCTGCTTTTGTATTGAACCCTGTTTTAAATTAATGTTTTGAACGCTGAAATCTTTCATCGTTCTTTCATATATATATATATATATATATATATATATATATATATATATATATATATATAGTTATTGGTGGGTTTAGCTTGTGCGGGTGTTTCTTTGCTTTTTTTTTCTGTTTTGCTTTTTTGTCTGTCATGTTCTGCGTCAGATGTAACCACATATGAAATTTGAAATATTTTCGCTGTTTTTTCCTTGGTGTTATTTATCAGGCAACCTCAGTTTCGGTTCATGAAAAACAAAAGTTGCTCTTTTCTATAATTTGTTATTTACTAATCTGACACAAAACCAAATATGCGGGTGTTTCAAACGAGTCTTATTAATTTCTAATCGTAATTCTACAAGGAAAAATAAAAATAAATTATGTACAGCGTAAGGACTGATCTAAAGTAGCCAAGTGTTTTGTGATATTTGTTCATCATCGAACAGCTGGAGCATGTGTTTAAATTATTATTGTCTATTGCTTAATATGTGTATTAGGGAATGTATGTTTCGTTAAGTTTTACTCGTAGTGGAAGGCTGTCCGTGAAAATCATTTTATCTACAAAATCAGTTCATAAAATATACATTCTTAATATTAATGGAAAAATCTTCCATAGAGGAATGACGTCTTATAAAATCATTCCTCCTGGTAATTCCCAAGCCTACTGCAGAGTCTCTTCATTCTTTAAAATGTGTCTACAGAGTTCCATTTGTAATGAGCAGCGTTGTGGTTTTCTTTCTCATGTCTAGTTTTTAGATTTGGCAATAAAGAAAGGTTGCAGGTATCAAATGGAGACAGTAACAGATGCAGACATACATGTGTAGTGTGAATTTTGTTAAATTTCTTGCGTCACACTTGAAGAATCTACTCACTCGGTCATTTTGAATCACACTTAACATGACTGTATATATTGGACACTCAATGCCGATTGGATAAACTCATGGGAAAATATTGTCCACGCATGCGTAACAATACCTCATCAACGGCTGACAAGTAACATCAATGATGTCCAACCGCTTCTCGATATCTCCATAAAGGTTGGATATGTTTCAGAAACAGTTGGTAGGCTCAAAAGCAGTACACCGTGCAGAACATTGTATAAATACCTATTAAAATTAGCTTAGCTTGATACGAGTTCTGGTTACGACGATAAACTACATCTGACAGAAAAGTCTTTGATCAGAAGGTTTTGAGGAGCGTGGAACGGCCTCTTAATTTCTGGTGTTCCCATGTCCACCCTGATCCGAAATGATAGCATCTATTAGGGTCCCAGCTATGAGCAAATAGTTAACCTCCCCCCCCCAAAAAAAAGAGGTCTAAACACTATGAAATTATAAAAAATAGATTTTAATGACAGCAATACTTTTTTGAAATAAATAAATATTATCAACAATACATTTTTGAAAAAAAAATATTACCAGCAGTACATTTTTGGAAAAAATATTACCAGAAATACATTTTTGGAAAAAAATACCAGCAATAAAAATCTAGCCGGTATTCAATAAACCATTGAGGTTGATATGCTGTAAAACAAAACAAACAGACCAAACCAATTAGACTGATACAAGTTTAAAGTTTTTAAAAATGCAAGGAGGTTTGAGCTCATTCCAAAGGAAATGTTCGGTAAAATTAACTTTTTAACCATCGCATTATTCGGGGTTTCTTATGTTCATAGCTGTAAGTATATTGATGTGTTTCTATCAAAATACATGAGAGTAATGACGCGATCAGGCAGATTCAAACATAAAAAAAATAGATTTTAATTTGCGTTAAACATCAGCTATTGATATACTAACAAAATAAAAGAGGTTATTAACACTATCAGAGAATAACAACAATTCATAACCACACACACACACGCGCGCGTGCGCGTACACACACATGTGTGTGTGTGTGTGTATGTGTTTAAAACAAGAAGTACAACCAATAAGGCATTGATGTCGGCATGCCTTCCGATGCTGCACTCGGTGAAACCTGGGTAATAAGTAGTATTTTTACACACACACACACACACACACACACACACACACACACATATATATATATATATATATATATATATATATATATATATACCCACGTTTGTGCGTGTGCACAATAATTGTAAAATCAATATGGATTTGAATTCTGACATAACATCTTTCTAGAGAACCCTGTCTGCTTTGGGGACTCAGAACAGGTAGACTCATACTTTTTACAAGTGTATTCCAGCGTATAATATATATATATATATATATATATATATATATATATTGCTGTATATGAACAAAGAAAAAAGAAAACTTACCCGACACGTTTCGTTCTTTGATTGACTTTACCGAGGCAAGAGGACGAAACGCGTCGTCTAAGATGTTTTATTTTGTCTTTATTCATCTTCTCCTTTTACTGATATATTTTTAGCTATATCTAAAACCTTTAATCACACACACACACACACACATATATATATATATATATATATATATATATATATATATATATATATATATATATATATATATATATATATATATATATATGCGTGTGTCTGTGTTTAATTCCTCTGAAAACTGACGCTTATTGGCGACTCCGTGTGTTTCTACCTTGGAATGTCATAAGCGACGTCTCCTTTGATTACTAGTTTCATTCTCATCTTGTTTATCAAAAAGAGTCACTAAACAGAAATTCAAATACTGATATTCAAATGTGGCCATATTTTTCGATTTGGACGTTTAACGCAACACAATATTAACGTCCATTGTTTTCCTTAACAATTTAGCTGTGTTCCAAACTCAGCAAACTTACTGTGGTTGCCGATAATCTCTCAGTCATGTCAACATTTGTTGCTTGACCCTAGAGATAAAGGTCAGTTTTTGAACATTTGCCTATTTTAAGGCGAAGAATTTCTTTTCATTGTAAGAACTTACTACATATCATTTTCCCCCAATCATTAGAACTTCAGTGATATCATGAATTCCTTAAGTAGGAATTTTATTTTGCGCGTGTTCCCCAAAATAAGTTTATATTTTTATTGGATGATTTTTGGGTTGATTTTAATGTTGTCCCTTTTCGTTATTTTTTCTTTTCACAGGAAGCTTCTTTGATATGGAAGAGTTTACGCCGGAATTTGTGAATTATCACAACATTGTCGACAGCGAACACATTTTCTTCCGTTGATTTCTCTTTGAGGTACGAAAATGTTGGAAAATTATTGCGATTAAGTGAGGAACTCTCACACATATGCACACACATACAAACACACACACAATCACACACACACAAACACACCGCAAAGAAGGGAATAAAACCAGGAAGTTGATCTTCATCATCCAAAAAGTGCAACAACTTTGTTCTTTAATTAAATAGACTGAAAATATTTCGTTTTGTTTTTCTTTATCCTTTTTCGGTTTGAGCGATTCATTTATCACAATCTAAGGTTTTGTCGGTGATTCAAATTCTTAACGTGTAATTAGATTTTTGGTAATAAATGCAGTATTGATTTTCCTATGTTAAGTTCCTTTAGTTCCTCGGAAAAAAGAAAACTCTCAGGGAATTGATATATTTAATGAAAGAACATAAAGTAATGAATGAATTCAGAAAGGGGAAAAAGATAAAAGACCGGAAAGAAAATGAAAAATGAATAAATGAAAACGAAAAACAAAAAAGCAACGAGAATAAGAAAAAATGAACAAGAAAATCATAAAAGAAGCAACTGATAAAATAAATTGTTAAAAAACTGAATTGATAAAAGGTAAAGAATGATAGAAATAAAATAAATAAATAAAAAAAAGCCAGAAAAAATGGTAGAAATAAAAACATGAAATTTATAAAAGGATAATATTGAAAAAATAGAAAAATGATATAAGTGAAAAGGAAAAAAAAAACAAGGAAAAATGGTTAAAAGAATAAAAAATAATTGATGAATATAAGAAAATTTCAAAATTATTAATACAAGGAAAACAATCTTTTAAAACCCCACAAACTGATAAAATTACATGAATTTCAAAAAGAAAGAAAAACAAACAAAGAAATAAAGAAATAAAGAAAGAAAGAAAGAAATAAAGAAAGAAAGAAAGAAAGAAAGAAAGAACGAAAACAAAAAAAGAAGATAGGCAAATGGAAAGAAAGAGACGAAGCAAAGACTTATGAATACCTAAGCAAAATGTCTTTCGATGAATTTTTTTTACTTACCTAATTAAATCAGCTTTCACTTAGGAGAGTGATTTATCAACTCCACAAATTTCTTAATGATAATTATCAAGTTCAAAACTTCGTAACTGCAGCGTTGATGGTTGCAATAACAGCTACTATCGATCGGTCAAGAATAATATGAAAAGCGATTGATTTAAGCAGCGAAAGATTTATGTATAGACAGTGTACATATCAGGATATGTAATTACCGATTTTTTCCTTGATAAAAACATTTAAAATTTTCTAAGAGATGCTATGAAATCCATATCTATATATATATCTATCTCTATCTATCTCTCTCTCTCTCTCTCTCTCTCTCTCTATATATATATATATATATATATATATATATATATATATATATATATATATATATTGCCAGCGGCCATTTGTCAGAGAATGACAAAGGTTGAAAACTTTCGTTACGTCAAGAAATCTGGAAGAAATAATCGGAAATTTTGATAACTGGCAAATATTTCCTTAGGTAAAGCAAAAAGAAAAAGGCTGGAAAAAAAACAAACTTTTCTTATTGTTTGTGAAATTCAACGGTTTCTCTCATAAGTAGATTATACAAATGCCGCGAGATACACAGATAGTTTTTCCTTGCCTATGTCTCGCGATTAATGCCCAAAACCTGTCCTCAGTTGTATTACTTTGCTTTATATGGAATTGCTTTTCTTTGCTTTTTCATGGGCTTATTGGCGTATACATACATACATACATATATATATATATATATATATATATATATATATATGTATATATATATATATATATATATATATATATATATATATATATATATATATATATATATATATATACTTATCCATGTGTGTGTTTTTTTTTTGTGGCATTCATACATTCATCAAAATATCTTTGCTTTTCAGGCTTATTCTATTTTAACCTTCAACCTTTCCGAATCTCATTCACGTATCTTTTCTTTCGTTCATTTTGTTCTTAGTTTTTTATATTTTGTAATTTTTACTTCTGTATTTCTTTTTAATCATTCTCTTTTTTATTTCTTCTTCTTTCTTTCTTTATTGTTCACTTTCCCCTTTTCTTTCTCTAACTTTTTTCTCTCTATCTTTTTTATTTCTTTTTTTTCTTTGTTGCTTTTCTTTTTTAAAGTCTTTCATTTTTTTCTTCATTTCTTTATTTCATTTTTCACCATCTTTCTTCTTTCCATTCTACGTTTTCTTTTTCCTCGTCTCTGTGTTTCTCTTTTCTTATTATTCTCTCTTTTTCTTTATTGTTTATTCATTTTATTCAGCTCTTTTCTACTCCATCTTGCTTTCTTTGTTTCTTTCATTCATTCTTTCAGTTGCATAATGGCGTCTATTCTCTCTTTTCCAAACAGTGCCAGGACTTCAGACGGAGAGATACAAATTCCATAATTAAATCTTCTTTAATGTACAACTATGAAACAAATCACTTAGTGAACGCATTGGATAGTAATAGCGGTATTTGTATTCACAAAGAGACATTTATCTAGAAAATACTTTTCTGGCATTCGTAGAAAGATAAAATCCTTATTTGACCGAAAAACAGCCGATAAGTGTTAGGGCTTCATCATCGATCAATTAAAGCTAAGGCATAAAAAGCGTCTTTTCTTCTTTGATAGTTATTTTATGAATACTAAACTAGGATTCTTTTCGATCAACCTTGTAGTCTCAAGACTGTCTTACTATGATTTTTGATAAAATATACATTTATTACTTAGTAGACTATCAAGGAAATTGTAATTTTCCTGAGTTTAATCAGTTTTATCAGACGTCATGCGAAAATGTACCGGTATTAAAAAATCGTTCCAATCGGGGAATGTAAATTAGTTATCGATATAGTATAGAATTTTAATAAAGAAGGCTAGGAAAATTTGACACGCAATAGGCTAAGAGGGGTAGAGTAAAACAACAAGTAAGCTAGATGATAAAATTCTGTAAGTTGGTTGCAGAACAAGAACTGAAGGGGAAGCAAAGGAGGAAAGCAAAGGTTGCTTTGGGTTTTCAAAGAATAGGAAGCTGTGGAAACCAATGATTGTCTAACTACTAAAGAGACACGACACATAAAAAAGAAGTTTATTATTCATAATCTTATTTAAATCTTATTTGATTTTATTATACAAGTCATAGAGAGAAACAGATACACCATGCAAAGATATCAACCAAAATGAGCTGGGGTGAATCAAATAATGTACGGAGGGGTGTCTTATTTGGCTGAAGGAGATATCGTTGATATAAATTGAATGTAAGGAGCAAAGAGAGAGAGGGTGTGCTACATATTGGTGATGTAAAATATAGCAAGTACAGAAGTTCAATGATCTGGGTAGCGTTTTATAGAAAACGAAGGCGCATAAATTAGTGAAATATGCCTTCTAGAAACAAAACAGTCTAATCAAGAGATTGGAAAATGTTCCTTGATCCAAGTTACAGAATGCCACACTGCGATGAAACTTACTCTATAGCAGTAAATGCTAGACAATTTCCTCATAGATGAAGGGGAGACTTCATACAACGGAGATCTGGTTTTACAAAATAATGCTGAGAATCCCATAGATTATGCTTTTAAATTACTGTTTGACCTTGTATAAGGCCCGAAAGTCACTCGAGGTAGATGGCTGTAGAATAAGAGACACAGTTTATATGAGGAATATAACAGTTAACCTTAGACTTGAACAGCTTAAAATTAATATCAATCGGGGAAGCAACCTCTTGGGAGACGGTTCCACAAAGCAGATGTTCACGGATAGAAGCTGCTTGAGTGGAACTTACATCTCATCGTGAAGGTTAGAACTGGTGGAATTAAGGAATGTAGTTCACCTGAACACTTTCCATGCAAATAGCAATTGAGCAGCGAGTGACTTGCAACTTTTCGTCTGTGGGAAAGGGGTTGTAGTGTGGAAAATAATTTGTCACCGACAAGGACGAGGAGAGGCATTTAGACTTTACCGAGACAGGATAGTGAAGACTGGTCAGATCCTGTTCATATATGGCAACAGTATTCCATTTTTTGCCTGACCCGCCTCTTGTAAAGGTAGAAAATAGCAACAAGAGTCAGGTTCTTACAAAAACCGTACAGAGAAAGTTTTAAAGAAAAGGGCAACAAAAAGCACAAACTTAATATCAAAAGTTGAAATTAAATAGGTCATATAATGAGAAAAGACGGATTGGAGAATTTAACACTCACAAGACATATTGAATGTAAGCGAGACTGGTGAAAACTGTGAATAAGCTATCAAAGGAGTTTGTGTTTATGAATGGTAGAAAAAAAGGATTAGGAAGAATAGTAAAAAAAAAAATTAAGCGCTACAAAGGATAGAAAATTGGGAAGAATCATCATTAAACGTGTTTTGTGTGGAGAAAGCGCCTGAAGGGTCAGGTGGATAAACCGCACTTATCTATATCGGCTTCATTCACTTTCCCATTACCGTAACGTGCGTGTCCCCGTGTCTGTTCTATAAATAGTTTCATGGTAATTGTTCCGAGAAAATTTCCTCTATAGTACCGCGACTTTATGAATTTAAGCGAATTACTAGATTAGCGGCAAAGTCACATCATTTTACAGTTGAAATCGCTAGTTATAAATGTCAGTTCTATGCTAATAATTTCTTCAGTGGCACTTCTCACCTGTAGAACTCTCTTCCGGCTTCTTGCTTCTCAGTCAACTTTGATCTTCAAAAATTTAAATCTTTAACTAGTTTTCATAATTCCTGTTCTTTTATTGTTCTATCTCCTTAAATAGATATTTCTCAGTATGGCTTGCATCTAGTGGCTTTATTGCCTTGCTTGAGGCGAAATAATTAAAAAACAAATTGTTAATTACGAAAGAAAATTAATCAATATCACAGAAAATAAACTCTTTAGAGCACCTGCTGTTTCTAAGTGGTTACACATATAAGCAGGTTTATAATCTCTTAACTTCAAGCAAGAACAGTTGTCTTCTATGTGAGTTAACCATAAAGTCTATGCTCTTCTTATCTGATACATAGAGAGATTCTCTACTTGAGGCCAATATTTATCATTCATTTTCTATATCCAGTAATTGCTCTCATTCGTTTACTAGTTTGTCACTTGTTTCTTCGTTTCCTCCGATTATTTCTTTTATCCTCTTTCCACCAATTTGACTGGAATCTTTCTACCGTTTGAATCGTTCGGTACAATTCAGATACAAAAAAAAAAAAAAATCTATATTTTCATTTCCTGAACTTTCGACCTCTCTTCTGTTTATTACGATACGTTTATCATTTCGCATTACATTTTATCATTGTTTCACCTTTTGTATCTCAAAGTACTTGATTTGTTAAACTGCCATATTTTGCTGAACGTCTTCCATCTCATTCCATTTTGCTTTTGCGTGGTTCAATTTAATGGTTTACTGACATTTATCGATCTGGAAGACATCTGGCATTGGTAATACATTTCCAGACTATTTTGATTTTATTCTCTACTTGTTACTGGTTAGAAAACTGTCTTTTGATTAACTTTTATTATTTTACATTGATAATTTCTTTTCCCCTGTTTAGTTATTTTTATGTAGTGTGTGTAAACTGCTTCAACGAAAGCACGTTCTTCGTAAGTCAGATCATTTTCTAATGTTCAATAAAATGTCGCTGGGAAATTTATACCCACAGCTAACAAAACATTTTTAGACAATCATCTTCTTGTTCCTTCTTCTGTCCTGGGTATGGGGATGAACTACATTCGCGTCCTGGGTAAGACGATAAACTGCGTCCAACAGCAAGGCCTCTGATCAGGAGGTTTTGAGGATCGTGTACGACCTCTTAATTGCTGGTGTTCCAAGGTCCACCCTGACCCGGAGTGGTAGCACTCATGAGGGTCCCAACTCTGAGCAAATATTTAACTCCTAAACTGGAGTTAAAACACTATGAAACTGTAAAAATAGGTTTTAATACAAGCAATAATATTTTTAAACGAGTTTGGTTTGGTTTACGGCATATCAACCTCGACAAAATTTTTATTGCTGGTAATATATTTTTCTTTAAAAATCTATTTCTGGGAATAATTTTCCTGGAATAAATCAATAGCTGGTAATATTTTTTTCAAATAATGTATAACTGAATTGCTGTTATTTTTTTTTAAGTATTAAAAAGTATATCTGATATTAAAACCTATTTTTACACAAGTTTGGGTGTTAACTATTTGCCCATAGCTGGGATCCTAACAGGTGCAACCTCCCCTAATATTAATTAGAATAATTTCTATTTTAGTCTAACCTTAATATTAAAGCACTAATTATTATAACCAAAGTTCGTTATCAAATTTTTTGAATTCTCATATACTTGTATTTTGATTGGTCATTACAGCTTATGTAACAGCACTTTCCCTAGCGAGGAGTGTTTGGTCGATTTGAACCTTTTAAAATCTTTATTTTACATTCAACACCATCACTAATAATCTTATAAATATAAGCAGCTATGCTCGTCCGGCAAAATCTTAGGTGTTTTCGCTTTCAAATGAATAAACCAATACCCAAGGTTAAATAAAGAGTATAAAAAGAAAGAACATGTATTTTCGGCAAAAATAATTGTCCAGAATCTAAGTTCAGAGTTCAAAGAAAAAAAAAACTTTCGACACGAGTAAAGTAAAATAACTAAGTGCTCAATACGCTAAGTAGAGCAAACTAAGAAAACCTAAAGATTCAGTTTACCCTGACGATCCGCGTAGTTGAAACATAGGTTTGTTTGGCTCTTTAGGTTTACTTATATATATTACGATTGCATCCAGCATGAAACAGCTTGTCGTCTTTGAGTGTTGACTTCAATGATCACTTTTATATTTATAATTATATACGCTCTATCTGATATTGTGCATTTTATCCAATAAATAAAGCACACTTTAAAACTAGATTTCTTTATACATACATAATTACATGTGGTATAAATTTTTGGGAGATTTGAACAATTTCACATAATAATTAATCGAATCGAGAAGAATCCTCAACAGAATGTAGAAAGCACTGGACGGCCGTTTCGCCCATTTCTTTTTCAGCTGGCGGGCGACCCATCAGCAGTGCGCATCCACTACCAAGAATCGAACCCGGACCGTTACGATACAACGCAAGCATAATACCACTAGGCTAGATGGCTTCAGTGATAAAGCCGAAACTATACTCAATATAACGCAGCCATTCCAAATTTAAAATTAAAACTGAAGCTTTTCTTTTCTTTCTTTCTTCTCTTTTGTCTTTCACTTTATTCATTATTGCTGGACACGACCAAAACAAACTAAGATATGCAGATGACACAGTGTTGATAGCAGACACAGAAAGAAAAATACCAAAACTCCGACAGAAGTGAAGAAAAGCAAGAAGAAAGGACTAAACATCAATTGCAAGTCTGAATGCATCGTTGTTAGCAAAAGGAACAGTTCAACATGCA